ACAGACCCCGAGGGGCCTGCAACTCAACCGTGGGGATAAGAGAGAGAGAGAGAGTGACAAAGGAGAGCTTGGACCTTGACATTCGGCGGAGCACCCAGGCTTGTCGGCACGATCCACCGACCGAAGAAACAACTGGTTAGCCGTCGGATTCGCGCCGACAGCGATCTCATCATGGCGATCGACGATACGATTGGCAACAGCAAACTCATGTTCAACCTGGGGCAGGGGCTCAATCAGCTCCGGCGACCTGTGTGCCTTGATGCGACGCACTTCCTGAATGAAAGAGGTTCCTCCCAACGACGGAGCAGCATGTCTGGCGCCCGCTGATTCACTGTTGGCCGGGGACTGCTGCTGGACATGGCGCTGCAGTGCTTCAATGGGTGGCATACACTCAGCACCGAGCACGGCTGGCCCCTTTCGCCACCTTTCCACACAGCGCCACTCCACCGTGCTCCGACATGGCAAGGGTCTGGAGAAACATCCCGTGGACCACACCACGCATGGCTGCCGCTGGTCCGGGACTGGACCAACTCACAAGCAAAACCGTTATCGTCCATGCCGCCGGCTGGGGCGCACGAGTCGAGGGCATTGTGCAGACTCGCTCAACAATTCTGCAAGCTGCTCGGTATCCTTATCGGATAGGTGTCCCGAAACATCAGAACCTTCCACATCGGCAGAGGTGGGCAGTTGGGGCAGCGCGGGCCCAGGGTGCACAAATGCCGCGGGTAAAAATCTCGAGGTCCGGCTCTTCTAGCGCCGCATCCAAAAGCTCACGCGGAACGCCTGACTCTTCACGTGCCTGGGTCACTGCAGGCCCAGCATGACTATCGAGAGCCTGTGGTGGAATGTGCCGACCAGTTCGCACGAACACCTCCTGTCCGTCGCGTGCCCTGCCAAACGCCCTCCCTCCACGGCCCGCGCTCCATGATCAGGAGCTTGACGCTCTGGCTTGACGTTCTGGCTCAGCCCTGGACGGTGGCCCCATTGAGCCGCAAGGGCAGGTTCGTGAGACAGCTGGATGCCTATCTCGAGCTGGTCTGCCAGAAGCGACGGCGGGGCTTCCCCGCCGCTCCAGGTGCCCCTGAACCTCCCAGCTCGCTCCAAAGAGCGCCAGCACCGCGCGGCTCAACGGGCTTCGGGAGGACCCTTCGGGCCCCTGGCCCAAGAGGTCTGGCAGACGTCCGAAGCCTGAAGAGCCCACCTCGACGGGCTGGCGTTCTCTCAAGCTGGGCGGTGGCAAACCAAAACATCCTGCACCCCTGCGACGCGGGTGCCACTGCAAAGCGGAGAAACAACACCTACTGAGACCTTGTTTGCGGAAACCGACACGCCCCCGTGAGATGTGGAAGCAGAGCTGCCGTGGAGCCGATGGTGGAGACTCTGGCCCGAGCCAGCGACCTCAACTCCAAAGCTGCTAGAAGGCGGCGCACCAAACATACATATCATCTTAACAAAGCAGGCCTCCGTGGTTCAGCGCCTGGGGCCCTTTTGACAGCCTCCAACTTTGCGGAGCCTACGCTTGAAACCTCAAACCGACTTAACTGCCCAGGCCTGGACCCGTTCGAGGACCCGCGATGCCAGAACTCTCACCCATTTCCATGAAAAGTGGTGCCACTCTTGCATGTGTTGCGTGAAACTGCGAGTCCATCACACATGAAGAGTCTCACTTTCACACACGATGCCACGAGCGATACCTTCTCGAAGCTCAGCACCGCAATCAGCTTACCAGGAGCTGCCTTGAACTCCTGCGTTGGCGCCACAGCCGTACGATTGACCATGGTCGCATCAGAAAAGCTGTGCCCTATCGCACTATCAACCATGTACTCGTCGAGGGCGACGGTGGGGAAAAACGCCACACACCGGTCAATCCCGAATACACACTGGAACCTGATGACCAAACCTGCATTGCAATCAGCTCAAGGCAAGCCGCTCGTCGCGTAGAGCGCCTGTAACGCACGGTGTCGACCGCTGCGGGTGATTCTCGGAGAACACCAAGTAACTACGCATGACAAACATGAGCCAGCACGTCGATACGCCAACTCCCGCAGAAGGATCAACTCGTAGGACGTCAACAAATCGATCATCCAACGCCTGGGGTGAAGACCATCAGCAAGATATGATTCAGCTCTCGCTGCTCGACTCCAAGTACAATACATAGCTGATCTACCCTTCGCTGCATCCAAACACTGTCTCTCTCTCTCTCTCTATATATATAATGTTCACTAATGCCACAAACCATGCATCTGTGAGCTCGCTGTCATATTCTGTACATTTCATCTTATGTTCGGCTCAGCATGTTGCCACCAACCGCCTTCGGAAGCACTTGCATCTGCATCCAGCACTGTAACTTCGACAGCAAGCCCATCGCCTCAGAAGATTCCCATCGCATCGACATCACCTCCAAATCATCACTTTCGAGATCCGGGGGATGCCGCAGATGGAAATGATAGAAAAATGATGCCGTACGCTTCGGGAAGACGTTGACAATATCTCATCCGGAAACATACGTGGGCACAAGCTCCTGTCAAGCACCCATGGCCTGAGAGCTCGATCAGAGGCTGCCCAGAGCTTGCAGAATGTGAGGAGAAGAGAAAGGAGGAGAAGAGGGGGGACGAGCAAAGCAGGGAGGAGTGGAGGTGTGCAGAAAAAAAGCAGGAGAAGAAGGGTCGACGATGTCTCAACTGGGCGTCCAACTCCTCCTCCTCCTCCTCCTCCTCCTCCTCCTCCTCCTCCTCCTCCTCCCCCTCCTCCCCCTTCCGTGTTTTCCTTTCATGTTTCCATATGCTCCCCCCTACTCCCTTCGTTTTCCCCCGTGCTTCGTCCTTCTTTGTTGGAGGTGGCTCCTCCGCGTCGTCCCCCCCAAACGTACCCGTAGGTCGGGCCAGGCGTTTCGCCTGAGACCTCCGCACCATTTAGAATTCTGATGCTGGAAATTTGCAACGGTGCCGCGGATGGAAAACGGGTCGTTTGCAGAATGTGGCTATCGCTTTGGCGCCGCGCGCAGTGGCATGAAACGTACGCACCAGAGTCACGGAAAGAGCCAGGACCATTTTCAAAGTGTGGCCCCCGCCAAACAAACCGCGCAAGTTCGTCATAAAGGCCTGCAGCGGCTTCAAGGATGGAGGGCAGCTTTTCTTCAAAGTATGGCTCTCGCATCAGCGCCGCGCACATTCGCTGAGAACTTCTGCAACATTTTCAAAGGTTGGGGGGGGCGCGTTCAACATGTAGCTCTCGCCCAAGCGCCGCGCACACTCGTGCTTAAAAGTCGGAGGGCGGCTCCTTTCAAAATGTGGCTCTCGCCTCTGCAGCGCCCACTTTCATCTGACAAACTTGTTGCAGGCGGCGAGAGGCGGCCCACGCCGACGTCGCCTTCAACGTACTGCCCCACCTCGCGCGGCCTGGGTGCTTCGACTTCCCGTGCGAGGTCGGCGTGCTCCCTCGTCGTGCTGGTGGCCAGCTCCGTGCCGATACTCCGGACTTCATGCCTGCTGGTGCTGGCGGCACTGGCGCGGCTAGGGTGCCTGCCCCCGGACGCCCCGGTGGACACTGAGGCTGCGCAGGCGCGGGCGCAGGTGGCTGGCGCGGCTTGCGAGCCCCTCCCCGATGCCCTCTGCGGACGCTGAGGGTGTGCAGGCCCCGGCACAGGAGGGCAAGCATGTTGTTGGTCGTGCTGGTTGTGATGTTGTTGGACATGTTGCTCCCGAGCGTTCCCACGGCACTCTTCGGCAAGATAGGATTGTAGCTGTTGGGCGTGAAGTTGCAGGAGTCGCTCCTGGTGGCTGCCACGATGCCGCAGATCGTGTTCTGGAGGCGCTTGGTGTGCAGGTACTTGCTCTTGACGACGCTGACCCTGAAGAAGCTGCTCCTCTCGTCGTGTCTCTGGTCGTTGTCGGTCGCGCTGCCCAGACTCCTCGTGAAGATGTTCGCCACGTTGCTGCTGCCGATGTCCCTGCTGCGCTTGCTGCTGGTCGCGAGCCTGCGAGTGCACTTTCTCTGGCCATCGCTCGGACGTCCATTCCCTGTGTTATTTTTCGGTTTCGTGCGTGGTTTTTCCGCCAAATGATCAAGGATGCTCCTCGATGGTCCTCGCCGAGGGAAAAATGCACACGTCCGAGCGATGCCAAGTTCTCTTGGGCGAGGCAGTCGTGAGTCTCGCCGAGCTTGCATGCGGGTGCGGCGGCTCGGTGCGGGCTCCGAGTTCTGCCGCGGATGCGCCGGCGCGGCGCGCAAGGCCCGCGCGCGCGCACGCCATGCTGGGTTCTCTGCATGATGCTGCGATGTGCTTCGTCTTTCGTCCTGCGGGCGTCCTGTGATGATCACAGGTGGAGTCCAAAAAACAAGAATGGACCTCCGATGGTTTTCAAAATGTGGCTCTCGCCTTTGCGCCGTGCACCTCGTGATACAAGAGTACGTCAGCTTGAAAGATGGAAGGCGGTTCCTTTCCAAAGTGTGGCTTTCGCCGCGGCTCCGCGAATCTGCATCTCGCAACCGGTTCGAGGGTTGAGCAGGAGGTCGTTTTCAAGACGTGGTTGTCGCGTCAGCGCTGCGCGCATTGGCCTCTAGGTGGCGGGCTGCTCTTTGCCAGTCAGGGATTCTCGCTAGGTATTTTTTCGACTGGAAAGGCCGGAGGCTTCAACACATGTAACACTGCACGGACTGTGCTTTCGCTAGAGGCCTCCCCTACATAAGTGGCCACAATCGTATTACGCGGCTGTGGGCGGTCCGTGATCGAAAGGAAGATCTCGCTGGACACTTCCTTCAACTGTGTGATCGCAGGTCCTTGCACTCCTGACTGAGCTGCAAAAAATGCAACGCGTATCCTTTTCAAAGCGAGGAAGCGAGGCCCTGTTCAAAATGGCAAGCCGAATTGTGCTGGTCTTTCAAGGGAAGCGCTTCTTCTCGAAGTTTAAAAAGACAACATACAGGGAGGACGCATGAGGCTTCGGGATTTGGGCCGGGAGGACGTATGGGTCTATTCTATCTGCAGCATCGCTGATGCATCTTGGGCTTACTCTGGTTCTCCTCCTCCTCCTCCTCCTCCTCCTCCTCCTCCTCCTCCTCCTCCTCCTCCTCCTCTTTCTCCTCCTCATCCTGCTCCTCAAATCCATCATCTTCTAAGGAAACGACGGCTCAAGAGGCCCCCTAAGAGGGCTCCAAGACGGTCCAAGAGGCGCCCAAGATCGCCCAAGAGGGCCCCAAGACGGCCCGAGAGGGGCACAAGAGGGGGAACACGAACCGACAACTCAAGCCTTCCGCCGCAGGCCCCCAGGAGGCCCCAAAAGGCCCCCTAAAGGCCCCACGAGGCTCTCTAGAGGCCCCACGAGGCCCGCAAGAGGCCCAAAAAGAGACCGCAAGAGGCCCCCAAACGGCCCCCAAGAGGCCTCGAAAACTGCCTCCATAGGCACCCGAGAGGCCTCCCACGATATTCGAACGAACATCTAAGAGGCTTCTAGACCCACAACCCAGGCACGGTGGCGGAATGGGCCGAAGGCCACTGGATCCGCCGCCCCCTGCTTGCAGGGGTGCACGGCGTGCTGGACGTTTCAGGTTTTGGTTTTGGCTTTTTTTCCAAAAGAACTTCCCAGTGGGCTCCGGCAGAACCCGCCGGCCACCCGGAATTTCCCCAAACGTGCTCAACGACCGCAAAAAATCCTCCAAAAAACGGCCGTTTCGCTCGGGACATCCTCAAAAAATCGCGAAGATGGCCCAAGATGGCCTCCAAGTCCGCCCGAGATGGTCCAAGACGGCCTCCAAAACGGCCCAAGAGAGTCCAAGACGGCCCAAGACGGCCCAAGAGGCCCCCCAGAGGCCTCCCAGACGGCCCAAGAGGCCTCCAAGAGGTCCTCCAGGAGAGTCCGAAGAGGCAAAATCATTGATTTTCCCTTGGTTTTTGAAGGATTTTGGCATTTGCGCCTTTTCGGCTCTCCGACGGCTCAAGACGGCCCAAGAAGCCCCCAAGATCGCCCAAGAGGCCCCCAAGAGAGCCCCATGATGGCCCAAGTGGCCTCCAAGATGGCCCCTAGAGGGCCCCAAGAGGGCCCAAGAGGCCTCCAACACGCCCAAGATGGCCTCCAAGACGCCCAAGATGGCCTCCAAGACGGCCCTGGAGCATTCCAAGCGGGCCCCAAGTCGGCCCATAGAGGCCCCCCAAACGGCTTCCGACGGCTTCAGACGTGCCAGGAACCCACCAAGATGGCCGAAGTTGGCTCGAAGCTGGCCCGAGACGGCCCAAAAAGCCCCAAAGATCGCCCAAAGCTTGCCCAAGAGGCCTCCAAGACGGCCAAGATGACCTTCAAGATGCCCACGTGTTCCCCGAAGGCTTTCCAAACCGATTCGGGGAACACGTGGTCCGATAGCTTGGCAGGTCTGGCCTCAACGTTCGGCCACATAGGCGCTTCCAAAAAGGCAGGGGGCGGCGGTGATTCGCCGTAGGCGTCTTCGATCCGCCGCCCCCTGTCGATTCATCGCAGGGGTGCCTGGCGTGCCGAACCCTATCGGTTTTGGTTTTGGTTCTTTTTCCATAAGAACTCCCCCTGGGGCTTCGGCCTGTCCCGCCGGCCACCCGGAAGACCCGATTGCCATCGCCAAAAACGGCCGTTCCGCTCGGGACATCCTCAAAAAATCGCGAAGATGGCCCAAGGTGGCCTGCAAGATGCTTCCAAGACAGCCAAGATGACCTCCAAGACGGCTAAGATGGCCCCAAGATGCACCCAAGACGGCCCAAGATGGCCCCAATATGGTCTAATACGGCCCGCAAGAGGCCTCCAAGACGGCCCAAGAGGCCTTCAAGAGTTCCTCCAGGAAGGCCCGACGAGGCCAAAATCCTTGATTGTCCAGAAAGGTTTTTGAAGGATTTTGGCATTTGCGCCTTTTCGGCATTCCGACTGCCCGTGACGGCCCCAGAGGCCGCCAAGGTCGCCCCAAGATCGCCAAAGAGGCCTCCAAGATGGCCCCTTGACGGCCCAAGAGGCCCCCAAGACGGCCCCAAGAAGGCGCCAAGACGGCCCAAGAGGCCTCGAAGACGCCCAAGATGGCCTCTAAGACGGCCCTGGAGCAGCCCAAGACGGCCCCAAGTCGGCCCAGAAAGGCCCCCGAAACGGCTTCCGGCGGCGTCAGACGGGCCAGGAGCCCGCCAAGATGGCCGAAGGTGGCTCGCAGCTGGCCCAAGACGGCCCACGAGGCCTCCAAGAGGGCCTCCAGGCAGGCCAGAAAATGCCAAAAAGAGTGATTTTCCTAAGGTCTTTGAAGGATTTTGACATTTGCTTCGTTTCGGCCTTCCGACGGCCCGCTACGGCCCAAGAGCTCCCAAAGATCGCCGAAAGATCGCACAAGAGGCCTCCAAGTCGGCCCCAGAACGGCCCAAGAGGCGCCCAAGACGGCCCCAAGAGGCCCCCAAGTCGGCCCAAGAGGCCTCCAAGACACTCAAGATGGCCTCCAAGGCGGCCCAAGAGCCCTCCAAGACGTCCTCCAAGAAGGCCCGAAAGAGTCAAAATGACCTCCAGGCGGCCAAGAGGCCTCCAAGACGGCCCAGGGGGCGGCGGTGATTCGCCGTAGGCGTCTTCGATCCGCCGCCCCTGGTTGATTCATCAAAGGGGTGCCTGGCGTGCCGAACTATATGGCTTTTGGTTTTGGTTCTTTTCCCAAAAGAACTCCCCCTGAGGCTCCGGCGCGTCCCGCCGGCCACCCCGAAGACCCGGTTGCACACGGTTGTCCTGCCCCAGACGGCCCCAAGATGGCCCAAGATGGCTTCCAAGACTGCTAAGATGGCCCAACTATGCCGCAAAGACGGCCCAAGACGCACCCAAGATGACCTAAGATAGCCTGAAGATGGCCTAAGACAGCGCAAGATGCCCCCAAGAGGCCTCCAAGAGGTCCTCCAGGAAGGCCCGAAGAGGCCAAAATAATTAATTTGCCTTAGGTTTTTGAAGGATGTTGGCATTTGCACCTTTTCAGCTTTCCGACGGCCCCAGACGGCCCAAGAGGCTCCCAAGATCGCCCCAAGATCGCCGAAGAGGCCTCAAAGAGGGCCCCATGACGGCACAAGTGGCCTCCAAGACGGCCCCAAGAGGGCCCCAAGACGGCCCAAGAGGCCTCCAACACGCCCAAGATGGCCTCCAAGACGCCCAAAATGGCCTCCAAGACGGCCCCGAAGCGCCCCAACAGGGACCCAAGTCGGCCCAGAAAGGCCACCAAGACGGCTCAGACGGCGTCAGACGTGCCAGGAACCCACTAAGATAGCCGAAGTTGGCTCGAAGCTGGCCCAAGACGGCCCAAGAGGCCCCCAAGAGGGCCTCCAGGAAGGCTAGAAGAGGCGAAAAACTTTGATTTCCCATTGGATTTTGAAGGATTTTGACATTTGCTTCTTTTCGGCCTTCCGACGGCCCGAGACGGCCCGAGAGCCCCCAAAGATCGCCGAAAGATCGCACAAGAGGCCTCCAAGATGGCCACAGAACGGCCCAAGAGGGCCCCAAGACGGACCCAAGAGGCCCCCAAGACGACACAGGAGGCCTCTACGATAAGACGCCCAAGATGGCCTCCAAGGCGCCCTGGAGCATTTCAAGAGGGCCCCAAGTCGGCCCATAGAGGCCCCCCAAACAGCTTCCGACGGCGTCAGACGGAGCCCACCAGGACGGCCGAACATGGCGCTAAGATGGCCCAAGACGGCCCAAGAGGCCTCCAAGAGGGCCTCCAGGAAGGCCCGAAAAGGCCAAAATCTTTGATTGCCCATGGGTTTTTCAAGGATTATGGCATTTGCGTTTGTTCTGCCTTCCGACGGCGCGAGACGGCCCAAGTGCCCCCAAAGATCGCCCAAGAGGCCCAAGACACGGCCCAAAGAGGCCCCCAAGACGGCCCAAGAGGTCTCTCAGAAGCTCAAGATGCCCTCCAAGACGGCCCAAGAGCCCTCCAAGACGTCCTCCAAGAAGGCCCGAAAGGGTCAAAATGGCTTCCAGGCGGCCAAGATGACCTTCAAGATGCCCACGTGTTCCCCGAAGGCTTTCCAAACCGATTCGGGGAACACATGGTCCGATAACTTGGCAGGTATGGCCTCAACGTTCGGCCACATAGGCGCTTCCAAAAAGGCAGGGGGCGGCGGTGATTCGCCGTAGGCGTCTTCGATCCGCCGCCCCTGGTTGATTCATCACAGGGGTGCCTGGCGTGCTAGACCCTTTCGATTTTTGGTCTTGGTTCTTTTCCAGAAGAAATCCCCCTGGGCCTCCGGCGCGTCCCGCCGGCCACCCGGAAAGATTGCCAAGAACCTCAATCCGGAGAAAAATCCTCCAAGATGGTCCAAGATGGCCTCCAAGATGGCCTCCAAGATGGTCCAAGATGGCCTCCAAGTTCGCCAAAAATGGTCCAAGACGTCCTCCAAGACGGCCCGAGTCCAAGACGGCCTAAGACGGCCCAAGAGGCCCCCAAGAGGCCTCCAAGACGGCCCAAGGGGCCTCCACGAGGACCTCAAGGAGGGCCCGAAGAGGCCAAAATCATTGATTGTCCGTATGGTTTTGAAAGAATTTCGCATTTGCTTCTTTTCGGCCTTCCGACGGCTCAAGACGGCCCAAGAGGCCCCCAAGATCGCCCTGATATCGCCCACTAGGCCTTCAAGATGGCCCCATTACGGCCCAAGAGGCCCCCAAGACGGCCCCAAGAGGGCCCCAAGACGGCCCAAGAGGCCTCCAAGACGCCCCAGATGGCCTCCAAGACGGCCCTGGAGCACCCCAAAAGGGCCCCCAGTTGGCCCAGAGAGGCCCCAAAAATGCTTCCAAGACGGCCCAAGATGCACCCAAGACGGTCCAAAATAACATCAAGATGACCCGAGACGGCCCTAGAGGCTCCCAAGAGGCCTCCAAGACAGTCCAAGAGGCCTCCAAGGGCCAAAATCATTGATTTTCCTAAGGTTTTTGAAGGATTTTGGCACTTGCTTCTTTTCGGCCTTCCGCCTTTCCGAGACGGCCCTGATTCGGTCCTTCTCCTCACCCTCCTCCTCCTGATCTTCCCCGCCATCCTCCCCCAAGTGTTCCCCGAAGGGTTTCCACAACGGTTGGGGGAACACATGATCCGATAGCTTGGCAGAGCTCTTGCCACAACGCTCGGACACATGGGCGATTTCAAACCTCTTTCTCCCCCACGCGTTCCCCGAAGGCTTTCCAAACCAACACGGGGAACTCCCAAAACGGCCGTTTCGCTCGGGACATCCTCAAATCGTGATCTTGGGGATCTTAGCCCAAGCTGACGTATGATAAGGATGAGCGTTTCGCTCAAGACGGCCTCAAGATGACGGCAGCCGGCCCGAAGACCCCCAAGAGGCCTCCAAGACGGCCCATGAGGCCTTCAAGAGGTCCTCCAGGAAGGCCAGAACAGGCCCGAATCATGAATTCTCCTTTGGATTTTGAAGGATTTGAGCATTTGCTTCTTTTCGGCCTTCCAACGGTCCGAGACGGTCCAAGAGCCCCCCAAAGATCGCCCCAAGATCGCCCAAGAGGCCTCCAAGATGGCCCAGAACTCCCACGAGGCCCTCAAGACGGCCCCAGGAGGGCCCAAGAGGCCTCCAACACGCCCAAGATGGCATCCAAGACCGCCCTGAGCACCCCAAAAGGGCCCAAGTGTTCCCAAAGAGGCCGCCAAGACGGCTTGCGACGGCATCAGACGGGCCAGGAATGCCCTCAGACGGCCAAAGAGGCCCCCGAGAAGCCTCCAAAGGACCCCAAGAGGCCCAAGGAGACCCCCAAAATGCCTCCGAGAGCCTCCCAAGAAACCTCTTAGGAGACCCCCAAAGTGCCCCCAGAGGCTCCCAAGATGCCCCCTCCTGCTGCTCCTGCTGCTCCTGCTGCTCCTGCTGCTCCTGCTGCTCCTGCTGCTGCTCCTCATCCTCCTCCACCTCCTCCTCCTCCTCCACCTCCTCCTCCTCCTCCTCCTTCTCCTCCTCCTCCTCCCCTCCTCCCCTCCTCCTCCTCCTCATCCCTCCCTCCCTCCCTCCCTCCCTCCCTCCCTCCCTCCCTCCCTCCCTCCTCCTCATCCTTCTGCTCCTCCTTCTCCTCCTCCTCCTCCTCATCCTCCTCGTCCTGATATTCCTCGCCATCCTCCCCCAAGTGTTCCCCAAAGAGTTTCCACAACGGTTGGGGGAACACATGGCCCGATAGCTTGGCAAAACTCTTGCCACAACGCTCGGCCACATGGGCGATTCCGACAGGCAGGAGGCGGCGGCGATTCGCCGAGGGCGTCTTCGATGCCCTGAGGACGCGTTCCCCAGTCGCCCAAGTCCCTTTCCTTCTTGACGGGCCCAAGTGGAGGGAGAGATGCAGAGGCCCTCGGGCATAATGCCCTGGCCGCAAACCGCTTCGGCCACGGCTGCGCCCTCCTTACTGGCCCTTCAGTACCGGCTTCCCGGCCGTGACGTCGAACTCCGCGATCGTGCACGTCTGTCCTGGGTAAGACTTTGCTCGGCTGCTAATTTATGGGAGGATCGATAAGGGGGGAACGAAAAAGCGTGCACCTTTCTGGCTCCTTTTGGGCCCCAGGGGGCACCTTGAGAACACAAAAGACGCATCTTTTTTCACCCCCTCTGTATCGCACCCCCGTTACAGCCGGACCTAGGCCAGAGCACCATTCTTCAAGAACATGAGACCCTCCGCCAGCCAAAACACAAACATAACATCCGAGGGTACCCTCCCCCAGGATGCACAAGAACATCTAATAAACACGAAGAACATGAAGGCACCCTCCCCGAACCACCCTCGATCTTATACCTCGGTCTGTCGTAGTCGACGACCGAGGCGCCCTTCTTCCTCCAGCGCCGAGGAAGCTGAGAGCGTCGCGGCTGGGTCCCTCCCTCCTCCTCCCGCGGCTGTGCGAAGGCGCCAAGGTGTGTGGATCTGAGCTTTGCCACCTCCCCGTCATCTCCCCTCCTCCTCTTCTCCTTGCGTTTCGCCACGTGGCTCGCTTGCGCGTGTAAACAAATGGAAGATTTGAGCTTTGCCTCCTCCCCCCGCCTGCTCCTCGTCCCCGTGCCCCTCTCGAGAAAGAGCGTGTTCTACCGCTGCTGGCGGAAAACCGGGGGGGGTCACTACCCGTTCGAACCCCTCCCCCCCCCCCTCCGGAAAACCGAGGGGGGTCACTACCGGTTCGAACCCCTCCCCCCCCCCCAGCTCATCATGAAAAGGGGGGGGTCACTACCGGTTCGAACCCCCCCCCCCCCTCGAAAACCGAGTGGGGGTGCGGACAGTGGTGGGGACGGTGTTGGTGGGGACAGTGGTGAGGGGACAGCGGGACAGTGGTGGGGACAGTGGGACAGTGGTGGGGACGGTAGTGGTGGGGACAGTGGTGGGGACAATGGTGGGAACAGGGGGGACAGTGGACAGTGGTGGGACGGTGGTGGTGGGGACAGTGGTGTGGGACAGTGGGAATGAGGTGGAAACAGTGGGACAGTGGAGGGTACAATGGTGGTGGGGACAGTGGTGAAGGCGGTGGCGAGGACGGCGGTGGGACAATGGGACAGAGGTACA